TCTATTCTATTCTATTCTATTCTATTCTATTCTATTCTATTCTATTCTATTCTATTCTATTCTATTCTATTCTATTCTATTCTATTCTAATCTATTCTATTTGTTTTCATGAAATCCTTTCAGCCATCGTTATTGTTATGTCAACACTTTTAAGTCTATAACATTATTTTGATTTAAAACTCAATCGAAATAGACATTGAAAGAGCCAGTTTTTTTTAACAAAATGGTTCTTATTGATGATTTGTCTATTTTTTGCTAGCAAATGCGGGAGATTGGTTAGCTTTTAAGGAATATTTCAGCTATTGTCGCCGGTTCAGCGTTCATTCAAATGCCTTAAGTGCTTCAGAAAGGATATCTATCTTGGGAGGAAATTGATCAAGCCAGTGTGATATGTTTATGTTATAAGCTTTTTATTGCCCATTGATTCTTCTCATCTTTAAACTTATTCAAAATTTAACACTACCCCCAATCATTTCAACTACATAGTTGTAGCTAAGATTTATAATTATCTTGGTTTGACTAGTTTCATTCATTTAGCATCAGCTGCGAGATATCTAAAAAAMGAGCATAGATAACCCTTGCGCCTGCACGACTCCCTAAACTTCTACAATCCTGTTTACATTTAAATAATAAACAGCTTAGTTGGAAATGGTCTAACAGGTCCAACTAATGCGCAGATGAGCGACTCTTGAGACTCTCAAATCACGACATGGTTTTTTTCGTCAAGGTAAGTGCAGCAACTCTATATGTAGATAATGGTGTTTGTAATTCAACTTAAAGACTCTTGCTTTCTAAATACTTCRGTGTTTTATTTGCTGTCAACACAAAGTGAAATATCGCATTTTTAGAAAACAAAAATGAGAGAAAAAAAACATTTCAAATTGTGAGAGTCTTTCTTCGTTCGTGGTTTAACGATATAAGTGCATATTATATACACATGCATATTATAGTGATGTTCCATACTAAATGCTTCTCGCCTTTAGTTAACTCCCATACAGTGATTTTCCTAGTAATGTCCTTTCTCAAATAATTCTGTGGCCTGATTCAATCAAACTGTGTGAATGATTTTGTAGTTGCATTGACGATGGAACTGTTATCGTGATTTCTCCCATTATGCGATATTTGCGGGAAAGTTCTGGACAAAAAAACCTCGTCGGTGAATAAGCAATTTATAGCCGAAGGCAAAATRCATATCGGTAGATATGTTTGAATATTCAACAAAAGACTCCGTGGACTTTTCTTACGAAAATTACAGCGCTAATAATCCCAAATGCCGAGATTATGAATTTATTAACGATCGAATAGGAACATTGAAAGTTAAGTTTCAGATTCATTTCATACCACTCTTCTTCAGTAGTACACTCAAAGCTYATTTGAATATTATCACGTGATCAACTAACGCTCGACATCTGTCTGCGCTTGAAAAGATTGCTACAAAGCCTAAAATTACATGACATTGTTTACAGAAAGTCTCAACAAGTGCAATCTTGATATAACATTAGATCAAAACAAAAGTAGGAGTGCTTGAATATTAGCAAACTGAGAATCAAAATTGTTGGTACGACTTTGTGTACTTCGAGAAACTCATTCTAGTATTTCCCCTATCACCATGGCAATGTCATTGACAACGCCTAACGCCTTCCTTAACCATTTCTATTAATGTTTCGGGTCTTTCGGTTGGCACCCAATATTTTGATTTTGTGGGACACAGATTGAAAAACGTCAGGGATCTAACAGTTTCATTGATATTGACATTGATATCAACACTTTTTGACATGGACTGTAGCTATATATTGAAAGAATGAGGTGTAGATGGGGTGTTTTGGTATGCAAAAGCAAWTAGCTTCTTGAATAATCACTGAATGTAAATGTGCAACTGCCATGCCGTTCAAGTCTGTCACATTGTATTGGTCAATTTCTATGTTCCCATTGCCTCAATACCTATCTAAAGGGCTCTTTTTCCAATAAATTCTACTCCAACGACAATTTAAACGTCAATAGACATAGAAATATCAAGTTGAACCCTGTTTTGTTTTGTTTTCAAATCATATATCTTTTTTATTTTTGTATGAGTGCATAAAAGTGCTAGACAGTTTACATGTCACACTTCCCTCGAAAGGTTGCCGCCGCCCTGGGCGATCTTACACCAACTGTCTAATTTACATATTACTTTAGATATTTAGCAATTCTACAGCGTCCTACTAGTTGTACAGATTCATGGTTACCTATAAGGGAGTATTGATGGCAACAGCCATATTAGGCGATGCTCAAGGATATTGTATCAAAAAAGTATTAACATTAACGTGAACAAATATATATCAGTATCATGAAATGATAATGAAATGTAGTATGACCTCGTACCAATCAGATCGAGAATAATAACAAATCCTTATGATGCATTTTATTCACTATATGTTGTTTAATTACCCGATTGACGAATTTTTAATTTAAGATGTTTGTTTATATTCACATGTTCTTTATGAAAAGAAAGCGAAGAAGACTTTTAAAATATGCAATTCTTGCTGTTAAATGTCATGCGCAATGGGATCTAAAGTCGTTAGCAGTATCWTACCATCTCAAATCCCAGATACCAGCTACAATCTTGGCTTAGTTTTAGTATCAGGTGCGATTTATTTTTATACACCATTGTGATATCTAGACCTGCGACCTGATATCTAGTCCTGCGGATGCAGGAATGAATGCATGGATTCTGGGGGTGGAGAGTGAGGGTGTTTTTGTATATATACTATTTCAGTACTGGAGGTGTAAATGCGTTTTTTTTAATATGTACCCTTGTCGCACCTTCTTGTGTTTGTGTTCACCTGCTTATCACTTCACATGATAGAGCATCAAAATAGTATTATCATTGCCTTGGGACTGCGACCGATACCTACCAAGGCAGATGGTTCGACAGCTGAACACTTGACACTTTGAAAAATATGCAAGCAACATATAGACAGTGTTTTACTACAGTTAATGATAACAAATATCCCAGAACAAGAAYCCGTCAGATTCAAATACAAATGAAAAAAAAAACAACTCGTAAAGATTATTTAAATATGAAGTAAACTTCATCAAAAATATCTCGCTYGATTTAATGTTTTCATAAGTAGTGGTATAATGTTTTACAATTTGTCAGTAGCACTATTTTTAACGAGAAATGGTCGTTGTGTCGTGGTGAATTAAATTATCTGAAACAGGATGATTTCATTGTGATTTTCGTTCGTTTTTCTTGTTTTCTCCATGTTTCAAACAAAATCAAATAAATAGAAGATCTGTTTGAGTTGTGAATTTTGATTTTGATTTCTCTTTGTTTCGCATTTTTCTAATTTAATCTCTACTTTTTCTCTGTGTTTGRTTTTCATGGATTTCTCTCACAGCGCTTTTATTGGAGACATATACGAAAGGTCTTATAAGACATKCAGTTGGTCATCTAGTCTGCAGGGGGTAATGACGTACGTTAATTAACCTGTTTTCCTGTTTTGCTTATTGTTTGTCTGTCATTGTTTAAGACGGAATCTCTTCGGGTTTGATTAGATAAAAGTGCTTTTCACACGAAATGAACAAAACTATCAATATTATTGATGAAGTACAACATATTGTGCCATATAGATGATTAAACAATGTTCTACTCCAAAGCAGCCTGTGTTTTGACTGGTCGGAGTGCCGTTTATAAACAGGTTCTGTTGTAGTTACGAGCTAGTTTATTCGAAAACTAACCGAGGATAAATTACCATCGATTGCCAACTTTGTCARTGTAACTAAGGTTATTAGCCTCTGATATATTTAGGGTTATAAAGTCAAAAATAACCAACCCACATCAGATAGTGATTCTAGAGGCTATTATCAATAATAACGATATCAAGGCACCTGTTAAGAGCCTAGTGAGATAACTCAGTGATATCATCACACTGTTCCACTTGATTTAAACGTTATAGATCCTTACTGGCCTTATCAAAACAAAATTCCTTCTTCCTAATGCCTTTTAACAAAGAGTCTCAATACTTGGCGGTGCCCTCCATTGTAACTATTGTCTGATATATGTCTGTGCCAGCTTGAAATGAACAACTTTGACAAAATGGCCGACATATCTAACTGGCATTATTTATTAATTTATTCATCTGTTATTAATTTATTTATTTCAAGMTAATGGAGAATGAAATATGCTGCACGCTGTCTAAAATTCTAATGAAAASCAGTCTTTTTCTGCTTATCYTAGTGAGAWATGTTTGTATGGTTGGCGGCATGTTCTTTGGTATTTCGGCAAGTTTTGCATTTAGATTGAAAAAAAGTTAAAAATTGTGTCCAGTTTGGCAAAGGTTCTATTGTGCAATGCTGAAAACAAATTGTTCCGAGGGTGCTTTCCATTTACGGAGAACTGGACGGACAGTTCACTCTATTTAGAGGTATATAATGCTTTTTGTCATCATTTTTCAGTCATTTCGAGGTTTTCTGTAGAATAATGGATAGAATTTGAAAAGTTGAATTTCCTAACTAAATGGGAATGATATATAATGACATTTTCTCTGGGTCTGGCCATCCAGTTCTGACAACTTAAATGGAAAGCGCACCGAAACTTTCGCAGAGCATTTGTGTGTGTCAATAATGGGACTAATAAATAAATTCATTTGAAAAGCGACAAACACTTACAAAAGCAAAAAATCATAAATATGTCATATCGAATAATAAATGTTGMAGGGAAATGTATCAGGCTAAATATAATAGAATTCAATGCTGAATCAAACATGCCGCGTTATGATCATCAATTTTGTTAAACGGAATTCTTTGCTAAACTCCTGCAAATTATGATTGCAATAAGGCATTTGCAATCGATTTCTTTTTGCAAAAATCCGTTCTGACACCAAACAGTATTATCGGGTGTACAACAAGTACTTTACTCTGCTTTTTGCTTTTTTCTTGTTACTAAAGAAGATTGGAAAGGAAAACATTACATTACGTGACATTTTTATGCAACTTAAACATTCTGTTCAGTTATTAACGACAAGTTAAAAGCCTCGAAATTTCAGCAAAATGACTGTATTCAGAAAACGTTAATCATTGCAGACATTTTTAATGAAACTAACTAAACTGTCGTGYCAATTGATTTTTAAATAAGTGAGTTCTAAAACCAATTTTATCAAATAATATTTAAATGAATATCAAACATGAAGGCTTTCCGATGTTCATTTCCCGATTAATATCGTTGACCAATCAGGTACCGCGATTATTGTCTACGTTCATTATGCCGGTAAAAGTGCCCGGACTGCAATTATTCATAGTTTTTGTCATTTTTATTCTGAATGGTTCAGATAAGAGAGCTAGCAGTCAAGGGAAGGCAGTCATCAAGGTAGGTTGAATCGAAATATGAAGCATTTTTAAGCCTTTTTGCTTACAAATCCAGTTAAATCCGCGCCTAGTACATTCATTCGATCCTTAGTTTTCTAGTTCTTGTTTTTACAGTTACGTGCAATACATTCCCTGTGAATATTTCTTCATCTATTCAGCATATTGGGTTTTTTCAATATCTAAAGCTTCCAAAAAATGAAGATTAAACTTTTTAAACGGAAAACTTGGCAGCCGTTGTTTTTTAGTTGTTTTTGGCCAAGTTTATTGCTAGCTGTTCTTCTAGTTACAACATAACAAAGGACTGAAGATTTTGGTTACGCACAGAAAAAAACAGAAAACCCGGTAAATCGGGGTCACAACTTAGATGCTATGAAATCGGACCTATTTAATGTTAAAGGGAAACCTCACTGAACAAAATGTGTCACTAGGCGCTAGATAGCAGTAATCTTAATGSAGGAGGCTTGTTGCAGTGTTTAGGAAAACCTGCGCTAAAAATACATAAAAATATGCGAGTGAAATTAGTGATATTGAGGTTACGTATTAGCGAAGGTTATCGAGCAGTCTAAGCCAATCACATCGCTCTACGACAAACACCCACAAAAAATAAAACATGTTAATACTTACAAATCACAGCGGTCAATATGTCTATGAAGACAGGAGTATGTAATATGCTTTGTTCTGATTGTTGGACGACCACTGGCCGGGTTGAAATACACCTTTAAATATCTAGTAATCATTAGCTTATTCTAACCACAGGACTGTGGAAATACTGCAATAATTTTCTTTGATGTCATGTTAAAATTTTYTTGATTTTCATCTTCTTTTCTTTGCTCTWGTTTTTTTWCTTCTCATTTTATTCCAAATTCATTCACAATATTCTTGACTTCAAAACTTTATTTGCGTGTTCCACATTAATCTATTTTTTTAGATAACCAAAAGCCAGATAAGAAGTGAAACRACATTAAAAACAGCGCAAATAACATTACAAGACATTCTTCTTTATTCTTTGCTTTGCAAAATAAAAATCCATCGGCAACAAAGATTGAAAACAAACAGTTAAAAACACAACAATATCCAGATAGTAAACCCAAACCAGTTAAAAMCCGCCGGTAAAACTACCAGTGGGTTGAGAACAGTTTAATTTGTCTTTTAAGCACCCATTAAACAAGAAACACTTCAGCCCTAGTAATTAATCTAACTAATTCTTGTGATGAAGGATTTGATTTTTCACGTATTGGGGCAACAGAACATTTGAAGATCATGAATCTGACTCGTGGATTTAAAATTAAATTAATTAATGTTATTCATTCGCTAAGACTAAACACAGAAACTTTATTGACTTTATGCTGTTCATTAGCCCCGGGGTAAACATGCACTACACCAATCGGCTTAATTCATCCTGAACGATTTATTCACAAAGACAAGCATGACGACAACTTAATGAACAAAACAAACAGACGACAAACGTTTTTTTTCTCGGTGTTGAACTTAACTAAAAATAAAAAAACGTCACTGGAAAAAATCGCGCACTTTAAAAGGTTGTAAATTTCATGTAAATACTATGTAAGTGTCCCGATGTAAATTTGATGTAAACGATTTACATCAAATCTACAACTTTTAATGTGCGCGATTTTTTCCTGTTTGCTGAACAAGTTCGCGAAATTCTGTCTATACATCAAATATAATTCTTAAAAACTAAAAAGAACTTTTCTGAGAAATTTACAGCAGTTGGATTTTAGTGAATTTTAACTGATCATCACAGGTTGGGATGATTTTGTCYTCAATGTGTACTACTTGTCTAAGGCGCTACCAATATCTTGAGACCTTTGTTGTTCAAGGCCCGGTTCATACGTCGAGCCAGCGTCGCGCCGAACTAAATAGTTTGAATTTAGCAGATAAAGAGCTCGAMGTATGAATTGAATTGAGTTCGGCGCGACCAGTGGCACGGCAGCGSCAGTCACACTATACGGCWAAAGCTCGACGCTGATTCAAACGTCGATYTATCGTCGTSCCAAACATAACGCGCAAAAATATCTTTTTTCGAGAAAAATAATGGATGTAAAGTGCGTGTTATCGATTTTGAATCAACGCCGTACTGAATGTATTTGGGTCGACACCAATTGACTATTTGGTTCGGCGCGACGATAGCATGACGTATGAACCGGGACTAASTCTTCCTGGTATCTTAAAACGTCAGGCTGATCACTTGAACACAAGTAGATAGTCAGAAAGGTAAGTAGGTATTTATTATAGGTTTTCTCTGTGTTTTATTCTTAGTTCATCACCCTTGAAGGCCGCTATAAATTACAGCGTCGACAACTATAGACTTTCTGCGATTCAATAATTATTGTCAGACCCCTTGTATAAGTAGAAATCTTTGACTGATTTGTTTGTCCCCCATGTATGTTCACAATAGTGATTGGTAACAAGTGATTGACAACAAGTGATTGACAAGGCATTGTACTCGCAAGGGGTCTGGAGCCAGCAATTCTCGAAGCCGAGGAGGTCTCACCGGTCCCAATAACTCTAATTACGATGATATCATATGGCTTTTCAAATGAAGTGAACCAGCCCTTGCCACAATTCTCTTGTAAAATCCCGTCGTGTGAATAATGGTAAATGTTTGTTCGATATCAAGGTATTCACAACCATTGCATCTGATCAAAACGCCCTCGACCACTTGAAACAGATACATTTTTTTGTGATTAAAAATTCTTTATGTTTCCACTCGTTCGCTTTGTCTTTATTATTCTTCTCCACCGATGGCCTCGCTGTAAAGGGACAATCATTCTGACTACGTCTGCATGATGGATAGCTTTATCTCGAGTACACGAACGATTCTTCTTGCACACAGCCTACGAGTCAAGGATAGTGGAGAATAATTTGGTTTCGATGATGACCAGACGACCTTGAGATTGCGCTGGAAATGAGGTCCAGCTACCGACGTAGCGGTCGTGATTCTCGTAAGTCGACCACAGTTCAAACTACTGATCAAACAATCGGCATTCTAGGGTTAGGTGTAGTGCTTGATTTTAGGGTTAGTTCTGGGGTATAAGTCGACCACAGTTCAAACTACTGATCAAACAATCGGCATTCTAGGGTTAGGTGTAGTGCTTGATTTTAGGGTTAGTTCTGGGGTAAGGTCTAGGGTTAGATGTAGTGCTTGGTGTAGGGTTAGTTCTGGGGTAAGGTCTAGGGTTAGGTGTAGTGCTTGGTCTAGGGTTAGTTCAAAGGAAGGTCCAGAGTAGGCAATTAATATAATAATAATTAGTAATACAATACGGCCGCTCATGTTGTAAACATTACATAGTACTATTACCTTGTTTTAGACCACACCCACAAGCTGTGTGCTTCGACATTCTTGCGAAAACGTTTATGGTCGATCGAGTTGGACATTTTTACATTTTTGCTCGCTAAAGCCTTGGATTGATGTAATGATTCATATTTATTCAAAATGTTCTCTGTTGCAGTAAAGTGCGCATGCTTAATAGTGACTAAACTCAGAAGTTACATTGTTCGTCATTTTTCGACGTTTATTTCTCTGTAATTCATGTTAACTAGTGTAGGCATAAGTCGTTTACAACATTCGCGTCCTTGTTGTATGGGAATTACAATCTCACGGCTGCACATAATGTAAACATAACTAATTAAACGCTTTTGATGTCGTGTTAGTAGCGCTCGTTCGATCGACCATTTGTTGGTGATGTGGACAATATATAAATTATCAGTATTATCAATATATAAATTATATTAACACTTCACAAACACTGGTATGAAAAAAATTGACCTACACTATCCTTCAGTGGGTCCAAACATTTGAACAGTTAGAACTCGTGCCGTTAGAGGCTTCCTTTCTAAAGATTTCGCGATACACATTATAAAAGGATAAATGATATTGTCAAATCGATAACATGGTGAAATGCTTTTTTTATTGTGCGATGTTATATCAGATTTTAAACATCCCTGTTACTCAGTTCATTATCAAACTCATTAATAATTCATAATGTCATTAGCCAATGATATACTGAGAACCTAATCACGTGATTATACCTTTATATTGGATAAAAGGTGCAGCAAGCTCAAATTTGGGGGAGGCTTTGAATATTTTCAGGGGAGTGCGGGGCTGATTATTATTCAACGTTTTCCTGATATACAGACCTAATTAATAAAACATTATAGTTCTGTATCAGTGATACGGTAATTTCATCAGGTAATTTCTATAAATTATATATCTATATCTAGATAACCAGTTAAATATCATATTTAGGCGTTACTGCTCTCTTGTGATGTTGTGTAGATCTCGTTTTGTATCCATGGTAACAGTTGTGACGTCATAATTGTGATGACGTCATTTCCTATAGTGTCTTTGTCGTCTTTGAATAATTTGACTCCAAATCTCACTTTTTTTTTTGTCTAAATCGTTTTTTTATGGTAAAATTTACAATTTGAGAAGTTTTTGAAGCTAAACAATTTGGAACAAGCAATTTTGAGAAGAATATCCGCCTTCTTAGGATCCGCCATCTTGGACCGCCATCTTGAATTTTCTAAAACGCCATTAAAAAAYTAAGCATTGAGCCAAACAACTCAAAATGTCTTAAATACTTCTCAAACTAACATTTAATGAATAAAAAAGTGAGTTTCGAAGTGCTACTGATGATTTTAATGAACTTTTCTCCCATGTGAAAAAATGACAGAAAACTACCCACCCCTMCCCCCAAAGTTTTTGTTGTCGAAAAAGTATTATGGTATTGTAGAGTCAGCAATGGGAGCAAGCWCAAATAGGTAAAAGATGCATAATAAAACAAGAAATTAAGCATATTTTACATTTTTGAAAACCTATGTGTCAAAAACTGGTTGCCATGGCGACATGGATGGCGTTATCAACAAAAAATTTACAACAAAATCTGCCCAGATAAATTTTAGGAAAAGTCCGAAAGTTTCAGAGCTCTAGCTGTTTTGGTTCGAAAGTTATTAGCTTTTTACGCGAGAGGGGGATCAAAAGCCCCCCCCCTTCCCCCCCAGTCTGAATAGGGTTAAACTTTTATTATTACTTAGTTGTCATCTGGTAAATCTTTTGAGCTAAAAATTCTCTTTTTTACTAATTCGAAAGTATCTCTTCGTGTGGATCACGTGACCAGCTATTAATATGAGTACTGAGAAATAGTCAGTAATGCGATCAACGAACGTAAAAAAATATGAAATATGAAACGGCTAAAAAGAGCCGACTATTGGTTCGTTTTCATCAGTCGACGGTCCTTTATCAAAACACCTTCACCATCACTTCTATAATACCAGTATAGTGTTTTCCATTATCCGTATTAACCTATAATCACGATATAGCTCTTGTTTAAGCATTCACTTCGTAAAAGTGATCCCAACAGGTCGTCTGTGTCAGCTTTGCGTCTTTAATGACTGTATTTAGGCTTGTTTTGTTTTCGGCTCTTTTTGTCGATAGCATATCATATGTCGACGTATCAGTACTGTGGATTTCTAAGCCCTATAAAGACGTACATAATCGTCTAAACTCTCACGTTTCCTAAATACCATTTCACGCATGCTCAACATTCTCTAGCCAATACGCGGAAGCGTGATGTCATGGATATCGATGAGTGACGATTTTTTCCTTTCGTTTCTAAACCTGTCTAAAAAGCCTTGAAAATACTCATGGTCGATGCGAGTATTTACGGTATTCACAGTGTATTTATCAAATTAGGGAACCTGTCTAAAAGGCTTTGAAAATCAATGGTTAAAACACATAATATACAAGTCAAATCGAAAGCATATTACTCAGAGTAAGTAGACGYGTTGTTTGGTGCGTTGGGATATTTGTGTTTCTTTTATTATTGTAAAGTCCATTGAGATTATATGGAATGGGCTATATAAGAATTAAATTTATTATTTAATTTATATTATATGTTTCTAATATATCGGTTCGAGTTTATTGCATTTAGTTTTATTAGTGAAAATACGTGTTAGACTACTTTGAATGTGAAATATTTTATTTCTTAAAGTGGACTATCGTACGTGAGTGTGTCATTATGATCTTGATTAGTGTTACGAAGAACAAAAATATCCAGCAATCCAACAATTGTTTTATGTATTAGTGTTAGACGCTGCATGTCTGTCAGTATTGCAGGGCGAAACACAGTTGAAAATCAGTGGAAATCTCATCATGTTTTTTGCTTGTTTTTAATCAACGACCAATCTTTCGAACATTAATTTACCACATATTATAATTTTACTGCTATTCTAAACTCGCAGCTATTGGAAACKCAAAAAAGGACACAAAGTAAATAAAAGAAAAGGAAAAAGAAAAACAACAAAGAAATCGAGTAATTGTATCTTTGTGTGCAAATTGATTGCTGCAGAAAACAGTCCTGAGGGCAAGCGATATGTGATGCGMCGATTGCTTGTTACTGTAGATTTTCCTTTTCAACCAATACAAAACCTTTTGCTTTGCAAGTTGCAATCACGCACTATTCAAAATTGAAATAAGTTGTTAACACTTAATYTTTGCTTGTGTCTGTACATTATATTGAACTGATTTCTTGGGGAACTTCATATAAACTAACTTTTTCTGATTGAAAAAATCAGCGATACCTCCTTTCCAACAAACTGTCTATTTTCTTCTAACTGACCAAAGATTTTCTTAAATTATTTCATCTTTATTTATTTTGGTTTTSATTTTTTTTYKYKTTTTTTTTTAATTATTTTACTTTGATCAAATCGAAATTAATAATTTGAACTTCAGGAAAGATCATTATACAAAAATCACCAACCATTTTATAAGATTTAACTCAATATTCGTCCTTATTTTTCTACAGTGCAGAGATCGAGAATGTTCCGTTATCTCTTTATTTTTTTGCATATATTTTTGAGCAACTTAGATTGTGTTTAGTAGAAATTYATCGATTTTGAATACGTATTAGAACTTTTCACACAATGTAAGTATAGTGTCTGTAATACTAGACCAGCACCGTTCAAAACACAATATCCATTATAGTCTTGGTGAAAATGCTTTCTAGCCAAGCCATGTAAAGCGCTTAGCAAGGATTTTGATGTTTTTTAGACATTCTATACAGGCTCTTTACGGTCGAATCAAAACAGGATTTACCGGATTTTAGGGGCTGCTGTTTTACCTATTATTAACCCGACTATCTTCTCTTTAACAACAATTTGTGCGAGCTTTTCAATCCTGTAAATCCTAATTGATCTTTCTAAAATACACTGTTGTAATCTGTAAAGCCTTTGTGCGTAGATTCGATTCATTAGTTTTGTCGCTAATATCATTTCATCCGAATCACAGTGCAATCATTAATCTGCTAAATTCGTGATAATATCTTCTTTCGGGCCATTTAGATCACGTCATTGTTYTAAAGCTTTTAATACGTTTGGTATCAACAGCAACACGTCTTCATTTAGAGATTTGTAAACGAAGTGCGTTCTTCTTAATGTTTGGACTGATATCACTTTATAAAAATTCAAAAGATTGAAATTGAAGTCGGATTAACGTAATGGGCTGTGGAAACACGTGTGTTTTTAACAGAAAAGAGCAAAGACCATAAGAAAAAGACAAAAAAAACAAACAAACAAAAACAAACAAAAAAAAAAACAAAACAAAAAGCAAAAAATAAATAAATAAAGGAAAAAAAAAGAGAAAAATACTAAAGGAAGAGTCAGGTTCGTATCAGCGGATGGACGGACAGACGGACGGAGGAAATGATGGAAGAGTAGATGGACGGCTGACGAAATGATAGAACAGTAGATCGAAGGCCAAACAAACAAAACCGAAGGGCGCGACTCCTGAAGGTCGAACGGACTTATGGATGGCCTCCAGGCAGGCAAACGGATGCAGAGATCTATTATAGGTCAACAAGTACAGACAGACGGACAGATTGAAAAATGAATCAAGGAAACCRACCGACAGACTGACGGGCAGAACGCTGGAGCAACAYATACCCACATACATAAATACAGATAATTCACTGTAAGCCACATTACTTTGAGCAAGACGTTTTACACATGCACTCCCGTACTAACTCCCTATCGCCGAAGATTTTTAATCAAGACAGTGAACTACCCGATACTGGATCGTTAATTAATTTGAACAAGAAATATAAATATCATATATACGCCATATATGAATGGCTTGAATATATCCCCTTATTATTTACGTATGATGGTGACAACATTGAAATTATTGACGGCCGCCGATTTAGTTTTACCACAAAAATCTGAGCATCTTAAGGCATGGTTGATATTTAAATTCCGACAGCATACATGTAATTCCTCTAATCTCTTCTCCCACGAATTCCCTATAAACGTCTCTTTTGGCCGTGACTTTGCGCACATCATTGAGTAAGCTTATAGTTCTCTCACTGAGGTCATTGAGCCGGTAGTCATTCTACATTGGTTTATATGTTCGCAGATGAACCAAAAATCCTCAATAATATTTTTAACATGAAATATTGACACTAAATTTCCGATGACTTATTTAAACAGTATATAGTACTCACGCGTGAACAAAAAGACACGCAAAAATCAAGATAAACGCCATAAGCACTTTAGAATTGTTTTTTTTTTAGCCTTCTTGTGCTTCACAGGATGTTCTATAAATACCTCGATGAAGTCCAATTTAGGCTCTCCTGTTTTCATCACATAGCTACGATAGACTGTAATCCCTCTGTAGGGATGCTGACAAAAAACGTTAGCTTTGAATGCATGTCTAAGTACAAAATGGYCTTGGTGTTACTACAAGTTATTGCTTCTGATTTCCATCGATACATTGTTGATACTCTCATAGTATGAATCAACTCTAATTTCGTTTGTATTGCTCTCCAATTTTAATTTTGACGACAGTTTTTGGCAATTGCCTCTTGAGCTTTGAATTCACGATGAGTAGGTGACGACCTGACTCACATCGAATGGCTCACAGTCGACAGATCTTCCAGCTGGTRTAGATTCCATTACATGACATCAAACGATTCCTTGCCTAAGTTAAAACCAGCTGCATCAGATTCATAAAAACTAGGTCACCTTCCTCAAAGAGAAAATGGTATAATGACGTTTTTAGGTTAAAAATAGACGTCTTTGATTGGCTAATAGGTAGACGACATTTCAAGTGTTTTTAACACTACCTGGAGTATTTCATCAATTATTAGAAGGCGTAGTTGAATGGCGTTGCATACCTTTCTCAATGCAGAGAGCGCGTTCAAAGGTTAAATGTGTATATACTATTGACCAATAATAGCGTGCTCTGCATGTAGTTAATTGATTAATTCGGGCAACGAAAAGAGTTGTATAACCGACARCAAAGCTCGATTTTAGACCAGCACGACTTGCAGGTATATTAGATGTTACTGTAGTCTTGGTATACATCAAAGTCCCTAGTACATAGCAATCATTTACTGAGAACCAATAGGTAGGAAAGGACATCTGGCTACTACAAACAATCCAAGGAATCAATCCATTCATGCAACATCGCACCATTGAACTATTTGAACTGGTTATCGCTACCATATCTCAAACCTATAGCAATTTATGGTCAATCGATTAACGAATATTTTCTGCGTTAGGTTAGCTGAGGTAAGTAGAAACTGGTTAGTGATACTTACGGTAATTAYAGATGTTGTATTAACTCGGTTTCAAAATACTCCTGTGAAGTCTTTCATTCTAATAAGAATTTAAATTCCTTTCGAAAAACCGAACTGATTGGAATAGTAACTACTAGCATAGGCGGACAGCGGTGCATTATGGTAGTGTCTTGAAGTGATTCAGTGCTTTTAATTGTTGCCATATCAATAACTATTGTTGTCCTTGGTACTACATCAATTGAATTCCAAAATATCCATATATTAAATAYATGGATTGTTTTGGTAGGTTCGCCATGTGTAGGCAGTCCTCTCATGGTTCAAAACCAGCAATGTTATTGATATAGTGATTAGCTTTGTGATCAATTCAGTTAAGGGAACTGTTTTTATCCCACGTTAATCCGAAACTGCATATRTATGATAAACTGATTAAATGGCTTAAGCTTCGAATAACGTACCTATTCGGAAACCAGTTCGATGACAGACTACGGCTTACGGAAGCTCTTGTATTGACAGATGTTTGGATCAGACACACACGTACATCACATATCCCATCATGCTTTGCYGTTTAAAATTGCCTTAGGAACTTATTTAGAACGTCGCCATGAGTAGCGAACGWTTTTTTTYCTCAATTTGTATCCTGTACGATGCGTTCGATAGCTGATCCTTCCGTAGAGAATCCAGGTTACAACTTTGGTGGGTAACGCAAAGACCCCAAACTCCATATTATACTTAACTCTTGACAATATAAAACTTCACGAAGAATTTCACCTCGCAGATTAACCTCACTACATGTGCATATTTTGCTGATATTTATTTAATTRATATTTACTAGCTTTGGAATTAATACGAAAAAAATCGGTAATTACAGACGAAAACCATACCCTGTCTCATTCTATCAAACCTTTGTTACAACAGACCTATAAACCTAAAAACTTTATTCTATCACATATCCGTAAAGCATACATAGTGGACATCCACTGCACTCCTTCTCCCCTTTCCATCGGCCGTCGAGGATCTATCAAATTATTCGAGTATCCGCCAAAAATGATTCAATTTTTGATTTAATTCACAGAAGATGTACGTTTTCCTGGTGGTATTGGCYCATGCTGTCCACATCGTTAGTACATCAGTACAATCTACCGCAGTTTACAACGTGACTACTACCGYCAGTAGTAACGCAACAGTAAACGCGACAGAGGTACCGATTGCCTGTGTAGTGCCATGCACCTGCTATAGGAATATTCATGGRTTGGTTACTCTCAAGTGCAACATTAAAATGCTTCCAGATGGATGGAAACTCCCTGGTCGATTTCAATCGTTGTAAGTTGTTTCTAGTAAATTATCACAAGATGAAGAAGAAAACACCAGCAACAGCAACAACAACAACAACAATAACAACAATGACAACAACAACAACAACAGCAAAACAACAACAGCATCAACAACAACTATAAACTATAACAACAGCAACAGTAACAGTAACAACAACAACAGCAACAACTACAACAACAACAACAACAATAACAACAACAACAACAACAACAGCAACAGCAACAGCAACAACAACAACAACAACAATAACAACAACAACAACAGCAACAACAACAGCAACAGCAACAACAAGAAAGAGCAAAACAAAGCGTTCGGCATGGGTGATCTTTTTTGTTTGTTGTTGTTGTTTGTTTTGCTTGCTTCTTTCATTTTGTTTTGTTTCTACCTAGAGTAAAAGTGTTCTATTTCTCTCTGAGAAAATGTTTGCAATTAGTTTTATCGTTGATATTTCACGTTTATTTGGCTGCTCTTTTTGCTCTTTGTTTAAATTTGTTGTACAAATTCAGTATTTCAAAGCTGTTAACCTGGGCAAAAGTCCTTATGAAGGCTAATCACGATTCTAGTATTTTAATATAGTAAATATTGTTGATATTCTTTTTACGCGTGGTTTTGCGCTCAGATGGAATATCATCCATTAGTTCGTGGTGTTCTTTATATTTGATTTACACTACTGTCATACTACTAGTATAGTATGGGTCAAAACGGTCATCCTCTTTGGTTTATTGATACGAATAGTACCGTGCAGTCCAAGGAGTAACTGTAATTAATTTGATTCTGTCTATAGAGATCTATCCTACAACAAACTGACTAAAGTTCCACAAGAGTTTTTCAGAAGACAAGAGCTAAGCAACTTATTGTCTTTGTAAGTTACTATCAATTTATCACTTTATTAACATTCTTCRCGGGATAATAGATAAACAACTTCATAAATGAACGCAGCGTAGTCTCATCAGAAGCCTGAACGTTTACACTTGCGATTTTGCAGCGCGATAAACGCATCTTTTCTATCACGAAACTGAAATAGTGCTTGTAAACAGCTCAGCGATTGATGCGGCGATGGAAAATCGTCGCGAAGTTGCAACYTATTTTCAAGTATGTTCGAAACTTCAGGCGATGGACGCGCGACGATGGCCGCGAGAATCGCTCAGCAAAAATCGCTAGTGTAAACGGGACTTAACGAAGGGCTRACTGCTATAACGTCAATGGCAACCTTTATCTGTCCTTGCGCCGCTTCAACTAACTAAATACTTTCACTTTCGAAATTGAAACCCTCTTACCTTGTACTCTGAAATTCCATTCAAATTTTACTTTTACGAACCTGTGTGAAATGTTTATATGTTGGTTTCCGTAGGTCGTTAAAAGGAAACAACATTTCTATCATAGAAGAAGATGCATTCAAGGGACTGTACAACTTGACACGACTGTAAGTCATCAATTGCTAGCAAAACACGAGATTGTAGTAAATTTGCGAAAAAGGTTGAGCGATCATAGGGGCATATACAGAAGGGAGGCTCAGGATGTCCTTGACATCACCACCCCTCACCACCTTTCAAAGACAAATTAAAGACGAAAAAATCTGAATAATGAACGTTGAGATGGGTTTAGAATTAAACTCAGTCTAACGTAATGTAACGTAATGTAACGTAATGTAACGTAATGTAACGTAATGTAACGTAATGTAACGTAATGTAACGTAATGTAAGTAGGGACTCATCCACCAATATAGTGTACTTCACGGTTACGTAAGTAGGGACTCATCCACCAATATAGTGTACTTCACGGTTACCTGCGCCATCTTGAAAGGTAGCCGTGCCTTTGCATCGAAGCGAGACGACCGTTGAGCGTGCAATGATAGAAACCTTGTTTACCTTTTTTTCCTATTTACAGCAGCTATCAGTCATTGCAAAGTCTCCACATTCGTCTCGCTTTGAGACACACATTGCTGAAGCGGTCTATTTTACTATTTTTAAAATTCATTTATATTGTGTACTATGGCGCTGTTGCTATGTTGAATTCTCTCTCGGCGCATTGTCTTGTAATGGCGCTGTGAAACTAGCTACAATTGCATAGTCTAATAGAGCTTGAGGTCAATAAATTGTTATTGCTCGTGGCTCTGCACGAGTTAAACTCTGAGCCGGGTTGTTCAAAGGTTGGTTAGAGCAAATCCAAGATTAACTCCATAGATTTCCTAAGATCTAGGATTAGAGCTAATCTTGCTTTGACCAAACCCTGAGACAGGTTAAAGAAACGCCATTGCAAACTTTCCTTCCTTTTTGCACGTAATCTTTTGGAGCATGTACAATCCCACCGAAATTATCTTTTGTAACGACATTATGAGATGTCGAGAAAGTTGCAAAGCTAGCAGCACCTTTATGAAAATATTTTTCTTTCAGCGATCTCAGCTTTATAAATCTTAAAGATTGGAAAGGCAACATCAAGAGGTCCCTCTCCTCCCTAATGTTCTTGGACGTTACTGGAAACTTTCCGTGGATACCAACAGTTAACGTGCTCGCCATAACATCATTACGAGAGATTAAAGGAGTCACATGGAACTCAGACTGCGTCAACTGTACCTTGACTAATTCACGATACAGCACTGGGATGGAAGGGACGGACGATAAAGGAAGTAGTCCCAATATTTCTACCGTGGAAACCACACAAATAACCGTGATAGTGAATGTGAATGACACAGCTTTTGACCAAACTGGTATTTCATTACCAGGAAACCCTTCCAGTAGCAATCACTTGAAAATAGATCACTCAGTACCAAACATGTTCGTGCAGAATAGCTATTTCCCTAATTGTCTCCATGTACCTGTTATGATGAAGTACAAGTGTTTTCCAGGAAAAGTGGTGCCTCCCAAGACTAAGCACTTATTAAAGATACCAAGTCAGCTCTTCTACATCGCATATGTGCTTGGAGCCTTAGGAATAGTGTTAAACTGTTCAATTATAGTTATCTATATGTATTCTACCAACATACGTAAGATTAACTCTATGCTCCTGATATCAAACATGGCGTTCTGTGATATCCTTGTAGGAGTATATGCTATCATTATAGCTAAGTATAACATATTTACCATAATGCTTTCTAGAGGTGACGTCATGCCAAACAGTGTCATTATCATTGGTAGTTTTTGTAAAGTTGCTTCTGTTCTCTTCACAGTAGGTCAAGTCGTGTCAGTCATCACTGCTCTGTTACTCACAATCGATAAGTTCTTGTCTATTGTGTATTGCATGGATCCTAACCGCAAGCTTAGTCGCAGGCTTTCTCTTCTTGTTTTGTTTCTTTGTTGGGTTGGTGTGATTGTGTATGCATTCTCACCTGAGTTCTCAGTCATGTCTTACAGCCCTGCTTTGCTGTGCACATTTCCAGTTACGGAAATGAAAGTGTTTATCATTAGTGTCTGTCTTCTTGTTGCTTTTTATCTTGCAAACATACCACTGTATGTTAAAATCTTTTTATTTGTTCGGCGGTCGAGTGTACGCATGGGCGTTCGCAGGGATGCCGCTTTGGCTAAAAAGATCGCCGTCCTCATTCTCACCAACTTTGTATTCTTTGCTGTTCCTATGATTCTCATCATCATTTTTTCTTTGGTTTTCAATCTTCACTATTTAGTTTCTTTTAACGACATTACCTTAATTCGTTTCATTGTATGCTATCTCTTGCCGATTGTTTGCCTTTGTCTTAACTCGTGCTTAAACCCTTTTTTGTGCGCCTTCAGGCAGAGACAGTTCAGACGTGAGTTTAAAAAATGCATGCGCAGCTGTATCCTGAGTCGTTTTTGCAAAGCCATTTCTACAATAAGGACGGACAGCTCTGTTCGCAACACGCAGCCTACAAGGGTGGAAATGTACAAGCTGAGCAACATTGATTCACAGACACAAGGAATGTAGGACAGAACTGTAAGATAATGTCAATATTGCTGGATTAGTTTGTATAAAGGACGGTATTATTTGATAGAGAACAGTGAAATCAGACGTAATGAGCCTGATTCAATTAGATCATGTAACTCAGTAAAAATAATAGTTAGTTATGCTGTATTCTCAAAGGTCAAAAAAGCTATTTAGATCCATTTCTCAACACTGCAATCATTTCCGACTGATATTCTAATTAATTGTGTTACAGCAGTCATAAGGCGCTCATGGACGTATCCAGGATTTTCACTGGGAGGAGGAGGGGGTGGGCTAACATACCCAATTGTCACTGTGGTGTCATTTGACGTCATATGATGTCGTACAAATCTATGGTTTTCACACTTTGTTGACTTTGAAAGGGGGGGTTACGGGCACCCTGTGACCCCCTGGATACGCCCCTGGAGCTGACGCAAAATAGGTCAGATAAAAAACAAGATGGCAGACCTTAATGTAAGAAAGAACTCAGGACAAAAAAAGGAAACATTTTAACTAAATAGAATACAGTAATGACATGATAGATAATCCAGACACTAGTTTTGATTTTTAATGTCGGGATACAAAAAGTTCGACAACATTGGGCAATATGTAGGCGAGACATATATTGGGAATCAGTGTTACCTGTTAAACTAGGATATCTGAAAACCGTTCTAGTGTCTTTCATAATCTATTTTTTTCACAATCGGAACGGCATCATCAACAACAAAAACTACCCGACTACATTGCTAAACATTGTCTATTTACCGGCGTGTTTCTGACTACTTTGCTAAACATTGCCTATTTACCGGTGTGTTTCAGACTGCAATTATTGCGCATGTCATCCCGTGAAAGAGTCTTTTTTCAGTTTAAAAAAAGTCTCAACGATTTTGTAGAAAGGGCATACATCGATTGTCACTGATTACTATCTTCTATTAGAGCTTTAGTCTCTGATATTTATCTATTTTAATTTTTTGAGTGCACATTTAAAGTTCTTTGGAAATTTGTTCATCTCGGCTATATCTGACCTTCTTAACTATAGTTTCTCGCTAATTCTAAACTGTTGCCATCTTATCATTTGAGCGATTAGCAGCATTATATATACCCTGGTTCCAGAGGTTTCTCTGTGTTATTCTCTGTTAAAATCTCTCCATCGAGCTGCGTAGCAGCGGCTGTCGCAGCTCGAAGAACGGAGAGATTTTCACAGAGAATAACACAGAGAAACCTCTGGAACCAGGGTACATTATATACTAAACGGGCCATCTCTTGCCATTCAACCTCGAGGACAAGGAAAAAAGTACTGGTAAAAAATAAAATGTATATTTCTGAAATGTTCTCTTAAAAAACACTGTTAAATAGCACTAGCAACATATGACTAACAGAGTGAGATCCTTAAACCCGTGAATGTACAAACTAAGGCATATTAGCGTAATACCTATTTCACGGGTTGTTTTCCATTCCCCTATCTGAGCTATACATGACGTGTACGTTGATTTTTCTGTAAATAGCAAACATTTACTTCAAAGAACGCTATCTTTAGTTTATATGTAGCTTAGCCAAAGGTTGTCGAAGCAGAACGGCGATTGCACGACCGGTATTTACTTAGCTCCTGGAAATGCAGAGAAATCATCATGAAAAGTATTTATTCAATGGAAAAATATTGACTGTCTTTCGGCAGAAACCTATAAGGGACTTGAAACATGTTGCGCCAGTACATTTCTTTAGTACCAAGCGTCGGAATATTCAAAGTTCATTAAAAATTTCGAAAACGAACGTTATGACCAAATTTGGAAAATTCCGCCGTTGGACTATAAGAGATTTTTAAGGCCCGTTCTGGTTGGCTAGGGTAAATTGAATTGTTCCAAATTGTATCGTTTAAATACTAATCGATATTGTATTGTGTGATTGCGTTACGTCGCGCGTTACGTAGTTTTACGTCACTAAATGTAATTAACTTAATTATCGTTGTTCATTGTGAAGACCTTCTATTATCGGAAGGACCATAAGATTTCGAACCATATAATTGTTGGTGATCAACTCTGTAATTCTGATAATTGGTCACGATGACAATAAAGTGTTTGGAACTGTGGTCGTGTTTCAACATAACACAAATAAGGAAATGAGATGCAAATAAGATTTGAATATTCCAACGGATGGCACGGCCCTACACGTTTCAAGTCCCTTATATTTCTGCTTTAAGCCATTAATCATCAATGCCTTCAGTTGCTTTGCCGTTCTCGCCGTCGATCTTCTATAATGCTTTGTCATTCTGTCGTCTACTTAATATGCAATAAATTATTTATGAAAACTGACCTTTGATTATTTGTTTTGCTCGGCATTTTTTACGTACCAAAAAGTTGCTGTAGAGAAACATACATCCATCTTGCTCGACTTTTACTTCCATATTTGGTAATCCTACCTTATTTGGAAGTACCCTTGAACTTTTGGGGTGCGATTTTTACAAAATTTGCTGCTTAAAAAGGTCTAAAACCTCCGAGATATTTTAGAGAACAAGAAATTTTACATGGCGGTTTGTGCATTTTTATCATTTATATGATGTGAGCGAATAGAAGTCGTCTTGTTTAATGGTGAAGTCCATTATGGTATTAATGAAACTATCAAGATATAGCTCATGAAAACTAAGCAGGCCTTACTTCCTTTGCGTGCTTAACGGCATCGAATGCCGAAATTCATTTAGTGAACATTACATGAAATGTCTACATACACGAGTGTAGTTTAAAAGACCTGCCTGCCAAATAAATGCTGCACGTAAAAAGCCAAAAACAAAAAACAAAAAACACAAACTAATTGCAACAACATGGAACAATATGTCTCAGTTTTTACGTTAGTCAATCCATGGTCCATCTTAATTGCCAAACAAACATCGTTCCTCTAATTATAGTAGTGACCTAGTCATACCACATATATATGTTGGTGATGCAACGCTTTATGCGCATGCAAGTTCTTCTGCACCGGTCTAAATCTACGGTCTTGACTGGATTATCTTATATTACTGATCATCATTTTCTAGCAAAAGAAAAAAACACACTAACTAAATATTGTTGTTTATTTTAGTATTTTTGTCATTGTGTTGTTTGATGACCGAAACGGTATGGGATATATATACACACTGTGAATTGCAACAACAACAAGCATTTTTATCCGCTATCTTAGAGTTATCATCACTTCTTGAAGTCCAGTTCATGGAAACAATGCATGCTACACAGGCCATATATATGTCATATATAATTCTCTACATGCGTGTGTGAATAATTTTCTCTTCAGAGGATTCAGAGATTCAAGTTAGCCGTTTATCTCTCCCTTCTATTATGTATTATCCATATGATCCAGTATAATTATAACAGCTGCTCGTGCATCTAAAGTTGTTGTTCGCTAAAACGAACAGCAATATTTTGAACTTTCTGGATGAATTCGATATCGCACTATCGCGCCCTATCACATATTTCATTATAATGTCTATTCAAGCACAAAATGTTTTGCAAAAATTCGGAAAAGTCAACAATGACAATGTCATACTGTATCTTATCATACACTTCACTTCTCTAAAAAATACCTATATTTCTCATTTTTCTACAAGTAAGGAAAAAGATATTTCACCACATAATTTGCTTTCATATGTAAATTATATGATAAACACAATATTACATGGTCGCTTGGAGATACGAATTTTATCTTCTCGTGTTGAAAATCTCTCAATCGTTAGATACACTCACTCGTGAGAGATCTTTTCAACATCTGAAGATAAAATCCGTATCTCCGCGCGCCCATGTTATACTAGAGGATGGTATTCTGTATATAATATCATTTGAAATATGAGCAAAAAAAGACATGATATCTGCATATTGCTGTATATAACGTTATTTGCATAATACAAATGTTTTCACAGGCTGACAATTTTTTGGTTAATAAACCCAATGTTTTTTTAATGATTTTTTTTCTTTAAGAGAGTTTTAACTTTCTTGTGATAAAAACCCGCAATGCATCCAATATACACTTATTATCTACATTTGTCTGTTTAGCGATGATGAAAGTGTTTTTATTTTATATATGTTTTTGGCGGCTGTTCCATATTTCTATTAAGTTTCTTTAGCTAATAACCTTTATTGAGCTTGCGCCAAGTAATTATTTTAAATCATTTTTAATTTCGAATAGAATATTTTACAAATTAAATGCAGTCAAACATTTTGTTATGAGGCAAATTATTAACAACTCATTTTTCTCCATATCTCTTATTTTTCTCATCAAATTTTATGTTTTTTCCTTTTTGTATAAAAAAAGTTGTTTACTTATTGTTCTGTAATTCTTAGTACTGTTTACATTTCATGATATTGGCTTAGCTAACTAGCATGATTAACAACCATATCATCTGCGTAAAAAAATTCATATATTAAAATTGCCTCCAAAAAATTCATTATTAGTTGACACCTTTATTCACTGTCTCTAATAGGTTAACACTTTAACAGACGAATAGAAAGCACTTCTTTTGTATTTGATTGATTACTGGATATCTAATATGCACAGTCTCAACAAACACAGACCCACATGACAAATATACAAGCAAAACAGGTGAAATGAACAAATCGAGCGATTGATCATGGACACTGCAAGTTCTAATTTGAGTTCTTCTCATGTCAAAAGTGTAATAAGGTAGTGGATGGCTCGTTTCTCGCCTTGTTTTCAATCATGGCGGTTACAATCTTCATTGGTAACCTTCTCACGTGCATAGTCTTTCTGTCCAAAACACGTCTTCGAGAAACCTACATGAACGTGTTTCTCATCAGTTTAGCAGTGTCTGATTTTCTGGTATCGATCCTCGTATTCCCAGGTTATACTACAGTATGTTCTTGTTCTTGCGTAACGGCAGTGCGGTTTCGACACTGTAAGCTATTGGAAGGCATCAAGGACTATGTACTATTAGTCAACGTCTTTAACATTCTGTGTATCACGTTTGATCGTTACGTCGCCGTGCTACAGCCATTGAACTACAATAGTAAGATAAATAAGTCATCCTCGGCAACGATGCTAGTGTGTGCGTGGACAATTCCATTACCACTTGCTTACATGAAACCGCTATTAGTGGCTGTAAATGAAGAAATATTCCGCCAAAAAGTCAACCGATCTATATATGACATCGTGGCAGTGATAGTTTTTATCATGATACCTATGTGCATAATTGTTGCAGTCAATGGTCTCATTATTAATGTAATTAGGAAACAAACAGCTCGAATCAACCCTCTGGGAAATACCCACAGTAATACATCCAACATCGAGTCAGATGGTGGTCTTGAATCTCATATGTCACTTAAAAACAATCCCCGCCAACTATACGATGATCATATCACACAACATCAACCTCCAGTGTCACGTGATAATCTATTAGCCGTTCAAGACTCGACCTTGCGAGAATCACGTTATGATAACATTGTTGTTGAGAGCTCTTCAATTAGTGTTGAGGTAACCTTAGTAAACTATGACGTACATCATGACAATATTGAGAATGGAAATAACACACAGGGGTCACGTGACAATAGCATTGTAAATGGTCCAATCAACGTCGAGAATTACGGCAAACAAACGACAATGAGTAATAATGATAGCAATAACCCGTCATTGCGACCCATGCCAGCAATAACCACGAGGCTAAAAACGTTGACTCGTCAGATCAAAGACAGCAGTGGGACCCGATCATGTTTAGCAGTGTCTGCGATCTTTGTGGTCTGCTGGATACCTTGGTCGTTGTTTAACGTATTAAGGCCATTTTCTCGCGATGTCCTCCATGACGTCCACCTCATCGAGAAAATATCTTTGTTGTTCTTGTACTTTCAGTCTATGACGAACCCGTTTGTGTATTCACTTTATCGAAAAGATTTTAGAGAAGCAGCCAAAGATCTATTGAACAAATTGAGATGAGCTGGCTCTTTACAATTCTCATTCTCAATAGCACATCTTCTTTTGAAACTTTTCTCGTACCCAGATTGTTCTCAGTTTCCTAATGGAAAATCAAAGGCTCTGGGCGGAGACGATACCGGAAGACCCAGAATCTATTATATGCATACTGATGATACATGGGAATTTTTAAACCAATCAAATCAAAGACTCATTTGTCTGGGTACGAGAATAGACCTCTGCAGCTTTTACATCATGTAACGTATACGCAATGCATTGTAGGATATGTTTGGGACAAAACATGGCAGATTTCTTTTGGTTTCTCCAGAAACTGATCCCACAATGCATTGCAAATCAAGTAGTGACGTAAAAGGTTCAGAAGTCTATATACTGAATCATGGGTTCAACACGCAAACACTACCGCAAGAATCACTCGAAGAAAGTCTCAAATTACTTAAACATCGGAAGATCTTTTCATTGTTTCAGTGTAGTTGGATAGTTGGGAGTAATGCTTTTATAAACTGAAAGCCGTGTCAGTTTTATGCTCTCATAGAACGGCTTATTGCACAACTCAACCAATCAACACGCGCGTTCTATAATTTTATAATTTATTTAAGTTTATTTACTTAGCGCTAAACGTATATATACAATGATGTATAGTGTTTCGTAAAACAAATCCTGCTATTTTCAACAATATCTATGTAAAATGGTATATAGTAATACGAATGATTAACATGTTGTTGTTATATTTTGCGTTTTAACGTTTTAGTGGAAATTAATCACCCTTATAAATGTATAGCTGGATATTGCCTAAAATTGCCGAATGTCAAAAAACTCTCTTATACGTAGAATGTAAGTTCATCTTGTCAGTCACTTTTACACGGTGATTGTCAATGGATGACCTGCTTGAATTTATCATGTAATTATCTATAAAATATATCGATCGAGCAAATAATTCTTGGTGTGCAACCACAGTGACAAGGAATCCCCTGAGAAATAAAGAACAAAGCTATCGCCGCCATGTTGGATGAATGAACAAGAGAAACTAATGAGGAATGCTTTGTGATTTTTATCCAAATGGCGGTGATGACGTAACTTGCACACCAAGAATGGAATAAATATTCTGATAGAATAGGTTAAAGCAATATCACTGGAAGATTTCAAAGTGAATCTAAAAACAATCTGCATATTTCTACTGCTGCTCCTTGTTCTATAGATTATCATTACTTTGAGGTTTTTCCATTGTTTAGTAGTTGCAATTTCCAACCCAAGGCACCAAGAGAGAGTGATAAGACAAGTATCACAAATATCTTTCAACCACATCATTGTCATGTGCTGCACGTGAGTTATTTGCCGTCACGCCGCGTAGAGCGATTGCTGATTCCACGTTAGCTACGTGCAATCTCTTCATGCTTTGACGTTTGGATTCGTCGTAGTCGAGTGGATTGTCGAATTTATACCCTCCGGTTTTGGTTGTCGGGGAGGATAGTGATATGTTAGTGGTGGTGATTGCTGACAGAGCTCGACGCAGCTGGACTCGAAGATGACCTCCACCAAACATACCACGCATTCGTGACTTAAACTCGATTTGAAACTTTCGATATCTGAAAGCGTATAGGAATGGGTTCAGAAAGGAGTTTAGCGCCAAGAGAATGACGGGAAGCAATTCATAGATAACGAAGTGCTCCACTTTTTCATCAAGTGAGGTTGTTTCATGTCCTTTGTAACGAACCACATAAACAACTAGAAGGCTCATTGGGACGGCAAAAAATACAAAATTTGAACCAATCATGATTAAGACCTTTTTAGCCAGAGCAGCGTTCCTGTGAATACTCATTTGAGTGCTGGATCGACGAACTACAACAAAGATGTGCATGTACATTGGGATCATTAAGAGGTAATTGTAGAAGATCAACGCACACGGGTAGATGATAAATGTAGGATCGGCGTCATCACGGTTAGAGGGCATGGTGCACAGAAGAGAGGGGCTGTACTTCAGCTTTACGAATCCATACAACGGTGACAGGGAGAACAACAGCGAGGCTACCCATATTGTCGTCATGATAATGATCACGTGATTCTTCCTGAGTCTGACGCTAGGATTCATGCAATAAACAATGCATGTATATTTTTCCACAGTGAGGAGCAAGGACGCTACAACGGACACCATCTCGCCTGTTGTCATCAACACAGTTGCCACGCGGCAAAATGGCCAACCTTGATCTACTGTGGTATTTTCTGACCAATCAGCATTAAGTGCCATTCCATAGATAGTGTGTTTAGATATGATGATGGAATATAAACCAATCATAATGTCGCATACGGCCATGTTAGAAACTAAACTCATGGAAAGGTCACGCTGTAAGGCTTTTGACAGGAAAATGTTAACCAACACTACAAGATTAGCACAGATAGCCATACCGCCTGTAATGACAATATAAAAACACTTACCCCTCAAGCAAAAAAAAACATCAGATTCTAATTATATATTAGTAATTTTCTAATGCTAGTAATTGGTTGCTATGTTTGTAATAGCATGGTATTTGAAATCCTACATTCTAAGCTTCTCTCGTAAGTATTGCCATTAGACAGTCTTCTAACTTTGAAGAAAGACGGGATGTAGTCTTATGTTTTCAGATATGGTTTGAAAGACACGTGAGTGCGTATGTTTGGAATGTTTGTAAAAGCCTTGTTAAGACCAATTAACTTCGCCTATAACCATTGTCATGTTGCTTAAACAATGTTGTGATTCTTGTCTTATTTCCAATAAAGAATTGAAGTCACAAATTACTTTTTAGCATTAAAAACATATTTTAGGTGCTGCAGTACGATGCCTCTTTTCAAAAGACTGTGGCTTTCGTTTTTGTTTTGTGCATTGGTTTCTCGACCTCTTCTCCTTCTGATAATTAATAATAGATTAATAACAGGTCTCGAGATTACTTTCAGTGTTAGATTATTCAATGTGCGTACACACCTATGACATATCCTGCAATATAAGCCAAGAAGCGTCTGGAGCTCGTTTTCTTTGCTACTTCATCATATTGTGGTCCATCGCTGTGACATTTCATCTTACACTCGTCGTTGCTGCATTTTGGGTAAAATCGTAGGGAATAAAACATGGCGGCCTGGTTGCAGTTCGCGAGCGTTTCCTTTGGTGGTAGTGGCAAGGAATGTTTTTTTAAATTACAATTAACACAAGAGTTGCTCCATGTTACGCCGTGTWTCATTTGAAGCGAAGTTATATTGACTAGTTTTTCTGGAAGCCATGTTGGACTGGATGTTATATCAATCTCGATCAGTGACTTGAAATCCGATGGAGCAGCGTCCCAGACTTGAATGGCATTGTGACTAAGGTTGCTAAAAAAGAGACACAATTAGTACCTTTTTTAAAAAAGGAAAGCGCGTCTATGATGGCAAAAAACGCTTAAAACATGGACGCATTATATCGTACACAATACGTCCTTTTTGAACTGAAAAAATGCCACTAAAAAATTCATCTATTCATATTGGATCTCGTGACGTCATAATCTCCGAGCTTCATTTTCCTCTTATGATATTTCATCGATTGGAACCAGTTTATCTATTGTTAATCTGAGCTCGTTCTTGATTGGTCGGATGTATTGGATAGAATCATCTAATTGGTTAATTAATTTACCGGCCGCAATTTTGTAACACGAAACAAGGCATATTTCCTAGGAAACACCAACTCGCAGTTGACGAAAATTTTCAGAAAAATATGCGTGCAGAGGTATGTGCCCTGCAAGGGATGAGCGGTGGTGAGTCAGGCTAACAATTAACCAGACCGAAAATTGCATCAGTTTTTATTACATATTAGTCAAGTATATAACGTTCCACAAGTCGGGAAAAACGTTGTCTTCGTCAATAACGAACCAGTGTCATTGGAGCAGAGCTCAAAAGTCAAATTATCGTTTCCCTCAAAATACACTTCAGGTCCGTAGCCTGTCCGTAGCCCGTAGGGGGGGGGGGGGGGGTTGTTTTCTCATAATGCGGACCTAAATTAAATGTTTAAGTAACTACTTCAATGCAATAGGTGTGAGTGTGAAATAACTGGCTGCTAGAATGAGCAGTTAATTCCAACATACTGTTCATAACAAAAGAATTGTAAAATAGAAATAAAAAAGAGAAACACCGGACCTTTTAAGCTTATGCGTGTATGTGTTACTTACAGAAACGTGAGGTTCTTTAGATCTCTGAAGGCTTTGCCGTGAACCTCAGTTATCTTGTTACTTGATAACAACCTTCATTGAAAAAAAAAATCAATAACTCAAAACATACACAACTAATATATGATTCTAATACAAGTAATATATATCAAGATACTAAGATACTTTTAAATCATTTAAAAGTATTTAAATCATTTAAGGTGTTTGAAGTTTTTACGTTTTTAGTAAAATTCAAATGCTTGTAACTTTGACGATATTCAACATTTGAAACTAAAAATCCGCAAATTTACTAGTTGAGATATACTCGTAAGACAGGTTTTTAAAAACATGGACCGTTTAATGTGCTCATTCCCAGTCTTCTGCTCGTTTTTCATATTTTCAATAGAAGATGTAAAAGGTTGATAATTTTCACCGCTCCTTTTAATAGGATTCATTTTTGCCTCCCTGACTTCCATTTCAAGTTATTCAAGTATTTCTAGATGACAATCATCGTTATACTTACAAAGAGCTAAGTTCCAGCACACCTGCCAACAGCTGAGATGGCACTCTGGTTAGATTGTTATTGGATAGATCTCTGAAAATCCAAAGCATTATCAACAAAATCATTATTTATCAATCCATTCAATCAAATGAAAACAAAATAATATTATCATTTACGGTAAAACATGGCATTTAAAGCAATCGTTTTCGATCCATCATGTGAGATGTTAAACGTTTGCTCTCTTAAAATCATATCGTATATAGGTGTTGTTCCGGTCCGTACTAGAAGTGGGAGAGCATCAAAGGCTCCAAAAAGACTGGACCTTTAGATTATTGAACCCCCCTCCCCTCCCCTAGTGGGGAGAAAATTTGTAATCCCCTTGTCTGGCACGTTTGTATGTAAGAGAAAGAAGGCAATAAACGAAGTTCAAGGAAAGTTGTCGGTTTTCTCTTTAGCCAGTCCAAACAGGTGTACTGATCAATGCATCTATCTTAAGAGACACCGTTAGCAAGTGTTCATGGCAACAAGCAAAGCATAAAATTTGTTACAAAATACTACATTTCCCATCATGCTTTGTTCTATAAAATGGCGTCCATGGCATAGAGAGTACAAACTTGTTTATTCAAAATACTTACAATGTGCGAGTGTTTTGAGGTAGATGTAGAGATGTGAAGTTTGTAATCTGGCAATTTACATGAAGTGTTGTCCCATTTGTACAATCGCACTGTTCTGGGCAGTCTTCTTTGGATGGTATTCCAGGCAGAATCATCAAAGAGATTACAATAACAGACTGCATTAAACGACTCATATCACCTACAAAAACAATAGGTATCACCTTTAAAAAGAATAATCATTCCAGCTAGTCTTCCTGAGTAACACCAAAATACATGTGTAATGAATATGATCCCTCGCAGTGTAAATAATAATCTAAGCGATTGATCAAATTAAACATGTGAGAGTAAAAGTGCCTACTTTAGCTTCCTGTTTACTTAGCACAGTCATATAACAGTATAACATAACATAATTCTTTTTTTTACAAAAATGCAGTATACATTTCTAACTGTATGTAGAAGAAGCTATGTACTCTAGGCAGATTAAAGTTATATAAAATATAATTAATTAGTATATTTGAAGTTTTTTATGAAGATCATGATTCGTGAGAAAGCAGCGAGTCACAAATTCAGCATTGTTAGTGTAGCTATTTTGCTCGTTTAGCTACAAGATGAAGACAATAAGATCACATGCGAATTCAGTTATCAATTTGGCCTACCTGTGCCTACAATAATTTGATTTATGACAGTGACAGACAAGTGGACGAAAGACATGCTGTTTTTCCGCTTTGTAAAACCAGAATATCTTTTTACCGTAGAAGTATGAAGTAACKCAAATGCTTTTCATGTTAAAGGCAGAAACCACAGTTTCATGCATGTCTACCAAGATGACTGGTCTGAGTTTTTAAACTAAAAATTAAAATTAGTCTTCGAAGCCGGATCAATACTATAGAATATAGATCAATACTATAGAATTCCATTGATTGTTAACTCTCAAAACCTGCCGAGAGAAAAGTTATTAAAAAAATCTTTGGCTACGACTTGAGCCTCATCACTTGATTTGATAAGAAACAATGTCTTCACTTTTGCTGCTTTTGCGAAATCCTTAAGACTTCCGCACAAAAATGCCTTCAGGATGATACGAGACAAATARGAATTGTGCTAGCTGTGTGACTGAGGTCGTCATTGAATCAATTTTAGATTTAAACAGTAATTTTGCTCGTTYGATTCTTATTAATCAGCTGGGATCAGCTGGGTCAATACTTAAATTTTTAAATACTCAAAAAGGACTTCCTAGAACTGTCAGTACTTAATGCAATCTATCATTTGGTAGATTTGTTCACAGTTAAAAAACACAACCACATCATCAACAGCGTTACAGCAAACATTGCCAACAAACTATGGACAAATCCGGCATTCTGATTGGCTACTGAACCATGGTCTATTGATGATAGTTCATGGTCTCAACGAATGAAGAAAAAWTTGTAGTACGGCCTCATGTCCACTTGATCTCTAATTTTTAAGTATCTCCATGCGCAACAAAGGTTGAGACTTTTACTAAACGCAAACGGTCGAAGACGATTCTTAAAACCGTCTATATTCTATTCGCGTCTTTTTGAACTGAAAGGGTTAAAAACTAGCAAACCAGTCAACTTGTCAGCCAAAATCATGAAGCAAAACAATTCATTGCTGTCTATTCTWACAAAACAAATCAGTTTATGTAAAGGCGAATGGTTGTTGTTTTGAATAAAAAAAATCCGCTGAATCATTGACAACTGCGTTTCACTCAAATTCMACGACTAATCTTAACCCTAACGAGACTATATACTCGGCCAAAATATAGAGACAATTCTCACTCTCATGTTGATTATAAAATAWCATCAAAATAAGAATAACGTTTTAAAAACGGTGCAAGAAAATTAATGAGCACTAAATAAAATGCATGTCTCTCATTGATGAATTATTGACTTTAAATGATGAAGAAACATAAAATAAATGCATGGTTTCATTGGAGGTAATGTAACTAAACAGAAAGGTCTCTTTTAAACGAGTATTTATAGAGTTCTTCAAATTAATATGCGAAAAAGTGAAAGTAATAAAATGCACTCAGTTCTGAGGATGTATTTAGCTATAAAATAAACGTATTTTTGCGTAAAATAAAAGAGCAGTGTCTCATAGAAGAGAAGAAGARAAGGATCTCACCATTTCTTTCCGATGCGACTTTCAAGATCCTTCGGTTTATCTCCTAACAGCTGATTGACTTCTCTAACATCAAACTTGTCTAAAACAGGTCTTTCTATCAATCTGAGATCAGTCAAGTACAGTGTTTGTCGGTCRTCTAAGCAATTGTTAAGTGTTTCATTAAATTCAATTATACTAACATCATTGAACTTTTCTTACAGCTTTAATACTCACCAACAGCAAATCGCATGAACCTTTAGTTGTTGTTATTACAAAAACATCAATATCTTCTAAACTTTTTAAACACGAATATTATCTCGTTCCGGGTGTTTCTATGGTTACCTGGRCTARGGCGAAAAATTGTAAACCGGACGTTGAATCGCTTTGACTTGAATTAAGGAAGAAACCAAACAACGGTGTAYTTTAACTAAAGCGGCTTTTAATAGAATCTCATTTGCTYGATTACACAAAATTAGTGACATGGGRTTCCTGTATTTGCATAGTAAAAGAGTTGAGACTGCCATGGGGTATACGCACTTAAAAACGTTATTAGATTACAAAGTCATTGAACATTCTAAAAATTGAACACTATTAAAATGCATGAACGGCTCGCAGTYTTAATGCAACCATGGCAACTACGTTTTTAAGGGGAAAATCGCCACCGATATGAACAGTACTTTTTTATTCAATATACAGGTATTCTATAGCAGCATCGCTATAATGCATTCATAWATAGGTGCTAATCAACCATATGCACATAATGGCAAAACATAAAAAAAATAACAATTGTCATGTACTTAAGTATAAAATATTAGTGCTAAAAGACACTGAAAAGCGTTCAGTCCAAGCGATATTCTCTTGTGTATGTGTGTATTTTTAACACRAATAACTCCATCAAAATTTATTCTTTTCAACTGAATATAGATGTTATTTCTCTAAGACAACGTTTTGTGGTTAGGTGTATATCCTCGTAAATAAATGCAAAATTAAAATCTATTTTCCTTGATGACTCAAAAGAAGACAAATACAAGGTCTCAAAGCGATTTCTAAACTAAAACTAAAATAATTAATCAATTTTAAAATGAAAATTATATCTTATCTTTTTTCCCTTTTTTCCCTTGATAATTGTTGATGAATTAACGTGTTATCATTTTATTGAAGAATTTATTACCAACTTCGACCAGATATCCTTATCAAAATTATGGATGGCTTATATATTGCAGAAAATTGTACTGGAAAAGCTTTTTTTCTCTTTTGAATAATATTTAGAATTTATAAAAACAACTCTGAACATTTGCTTCAAAGCATCGAAATAATTGATTTTTTTAATTACCAGTAYAGTGATATTTGAGTAGAAGTACCGTACGTTTCGCTTTCTCAAAGCTGCAACTTTTACTCGTGCTACAATTCGCGGTTATAATGACATATGGATTCTTAGTTGATTGCAATTAATCAGGGGTGCCAGAACCGGGAACCAGAATTTTCGAAAATTATAAACATTTTATGATAAAATGAAAACGATTCACGTAAAGTTTAAATTATAACTGTTCTCAAAAAAAAAAAACATTTGAGACATTAACAAAGGGTATATATTATCGTTCTAGTTTTCACGTGTAAATGTAACGTTATATCAGCTTTATGAAACAATTTGCCTATCTTGAGATATTTTTAAATGTTGTCAGCAGTTATACTATATGCGTATCAGCATAAGCGCACATAAAAAATTGGATTTCGCAGATTATTCTAGATTGTGCACAGTATTTGATAGTTGTTATGTATAACGTCTTTGGTTTTGTTTCATGATAAAAGCTCTTCGTATTTTCCTATAATGTAATTCATTAAGAGTTATATTTACTGTAAAATAAAGCTTGTTTAATATAAAAAGATTTCTTGACCACAATATCAATTAATCTTCTTAGCCCCCCCAGGACCAAAAACGTTCCGGCGCCCCTGTTAATATTTAAAGTTGCCAAAGGCTTTATAGTAGTTTAGTTTTTTGAATTACCATCGCGTAGCTTCCTACTGATTTCCGGTTATCGATACTGAACACACTACGACCCCGTTCCTACAATAATGATAAAACCTTTTAGCGATCATCCCTTTTACACTGTTTTAGCCTCAAAACCATACACCCTTTTTAGGCAAAATCACGTGCAAAAAGATCTGTGACAATGAAAATAGTTTGAATTCTCACGAGTTCTTATTGAGGTAACACAAGGTAAAGGTCTGTAAAGGCTGATTTACACGGCACGATTGTCTCGTGCGACTTGTAGTATACGACTTGAATCGCGCAGTGTAAATGCCCCTACGACTTGTCTACAACAGTCGTACGCAACCTACGACTTGTAGTAGGGTTTTGAACCACTGATGAAAATCCTACGACTTGTAGTAGGAAAATCGTATACTACAAGTCGCGCGCGACAAATCGTACCGTGTAAATTAGCCTTAAAAGATATCCCGAAACTCAACAATTGGTAGATGGGAACTTAAAATAGTGTTGTATGAATGTTGTCTTACAATCTCTAAAACTTTGAATTTACTAGTACATTTCGAGACTAAAAGTCTTTTTTTGCAGTAAAACGCCAAATGTAAAACCTATGCTAAGGGCTATTTTGTTAGCATGGTTGTTGACTCATGTTCGACTGTGTAACAGTGACCAGTTGACTATACATTCTCACATAACAATGGTCATGTCACTGGTCTGATCCAGATTTCTTATGCACCACACAAAGCCAAACTTTCATTGATGTCCACTGAAATGATAGATGATGCTATAGCGACGTGCACCAGATTAGTCAGAAAGTTCAGAAAGCACGTGTAATCCTGTTGGAATTTTGCGCTTAAAGAGCCACTCATCTAGATAGATATATCGATTTACTGAACAGGAGAAAAGGGAAATTTTTCATTTTTACTGGCATAGATTAGTTTTGTCATGTGTCTCGTATCAAGCGTTGGTGTGAAGTAAAAATCGTTCAGATACCCCATGGTCTAGTAGAGTTACATGCATGTCAGTTGATAAGGACGATTGTGAATCTTTTTGCGATTATAAACTGATTAATGGTGCTGGAGGGAACAATTTTCTGAAGCTCATCGAAAACGGTTTGATTATAAGAGAACAAACGTCTTTTCGTCATTGTTATTTTACTTCCGGGTATGTTTTGCCTTGGTGCAAAAGAACGCATTGTGTTATAAGTTACCGTTTCAGAAGGAGAGTCCTCACCAGGAGCCTCAAACGAATTATAGCCTCAAAACATTTTATTGTTTTACAAGGATTATGTTCGCCAGAGGGGATCAGAGTGGTCAAATAAAATGTAAAAAAATTACTACTTAGCCTCTTTCCCCGACATACTGTGACGTCAAAATGAAAGAGGCCTATTGGTGGTTTAGAGACAGGGCTAAGACAATCTCACTAAACTTGACTAACAGACGCACACATTAAAAAGTGTAAACAATTCTTCTATTTACCTTGATTCTCGCCGTCTTCATTCCTTTTGTGTTATTTTTTTATTTAAAAATAACAAGTAATAAGGAAAGGTATTTCATTTTATTGTAATTGCCTTCATTGTGATGGTCTTTTCTTCTTATGACGATGGTGAGATGCATCACTGGTATTGCTATAAAAGTAGAAATTGAGTTAGGTTGTTGTTTGTACAACAACCGTTAATAGTTATTTCTCAGACTGGTCTTTTAATATATAGTGAAGTCATCATATTTAATGAACAGTTCCAAATGATTGTCGACAATAGGCCCTTTGCAGCTGGGGGTCACGTGATCACACCTACCTTAAATCAATCAGCTATCAAAAAATATGATGTTCAGAAATGGAAAGAGGGGATSAAAATAGGGTCAAAGTAAGTAAGAAGACATAGTTTCAAGTCGCAACGCTAAATATATTTCAAAATTGCTAGCAAATTTATCTTTTTTTTTCTAAAGCCGACATATGCAAAAACACTAATTGCTCTCCAGGTCTATTTTCACATAATTTTCTTTAGAAAAATTTATATTTTACATTTGTTGCCATTTTTGTAGTAGTAGACTTGAGACTTGAGAATTTACGAACATAAACCTGCTATAGCGTAAAATTTTCAAGGAAACAAAAAAGCCACAAATTTAATAAATGGAACTGATTTTTTTAACAAATAATATTGAAATTGATAACAGAAAATAATAACAGACGTTAAAACAATGTATACAAATGGGGAGAAGAGGGGGAAGGGTTCCAGTGCATCCCCTGGATTATCCTATATTTTTACTGAAAGCATAATACACTACAATATAATATACAGCATAATACACTACAATATAATATACAGGGCATAAGCACAACGTTTTTTCTTCACTGAAATGCTTGGCAGTGTGTAATTTCCTGTCGGATAAAAATGAGTTTCTACGTTATGAGCAAAGGAAGTCAMAGACAGCCTCGAGTGTTTTAAAAATGAATATGAAAATAAAAATTCATGTTGTTGACATATACATCAATATATACATGAAAATTTTTTGGAAGATATTAAATTATCTCGAGTTTGCCGTACGATGTCGCGTTCGACAGTATTCTTCTCGTTTAATTTTGAGTTTTCATTTCCACTCTCTGGTTCAGTGTTTGTTTGCACTAAAACGCACTTAATAGAGCTGACTCATTGACAGGCAAATCATCAAAACAAACAACACCAGAAAGTCATAACTCACCTCATCATCTCTATCTTGTATTTCCGTCACCATCAKATGTGCGGATAATCTATTTTTACACCGGACAATCGCAACGCGCGACAATTTAACACGGCACCTGGCTGTTCTTACTTCCAGAGCCAAGGAAACAAAAATGTAGGACAGAAATGTTGARCGCACAAAGGGTTCTGAGCCAATGCTATATCTTCTCTTCAGGCGTTATTTAGCCCGAGATGAATCAATTCCGAAATATTTATAAAATAAAAAATTAACAATTGCAAGGGTTTTCAAACCTGAGTTTTACGGRGACGTGACAAGGGCTTTAACAGGGGGTTGGGGATTACAGCTTGGGTCTGTGTTTTCAAGACTGCGAGGAAGGCGATTTACTACAAAGTGTTGATTTGGAATTACACTGAACAAACTGACGGACTATTTCATAGAACTTGTCAGACAAGAAAGGGGTGTTCCGGAACACTTGGAAACACTCCCCGATCGATCCTGGCAAACTTATTTCAAACCTTGGCCTATATCACTTATCAGTGTATAGTCTGCCGGAATAAGACTTGTCTAAACCAGGAGCGCAGTTAGTGTTTTTCTTGGATGAATGAAACGCTCTGACAGCGTGAAGTCGGGCTAGCTT